AAAGCACGTTACCTTTTAATTATTGTGTTGCTATTTAAATATTCTTAGCCATCCTAAGGTAACCCTCTTTCCATGTTTTGATCTGCAGTGGCCTCAAAGACTTCAGCTTTCATTACCTCCAGGCTGAGCCAATACTCTGATTAAAACCTAGAATATAAAGTGACTGTTTGGTACTAAGAGTCAATGTTTAAATCTCTGAACGTTAGTAATGTTTCAAATAAAGGGGTTGGTTTTCCTACATATGAGAGAACTTCTCAACAACACGTTGTGTTGGCTTCTACTTTGAGGAAAATATTCCAGACTTGTTTCTTACAAGACTGAGGTATGTCAGAAGTCTGATTTGAGATTTTCCAAGTGGGAACATTGGTCTCATATAATTTGGGAATAAAACATTTGATTACTTTTACTGTTTAGTCTCCTACCACTTGTGATAACTATTTTATCACACACTTATATATGTTGAAATCTTAAAGTAAGGGATATTAATTTTCTGAATCTATTTGTAAGTTGAGAGCACTCACTCCCTTGTGGAAGTGTAGTTTGACTTTTCTAAAATTTCTCTCCTTCAGTGCTAAACAAACCCTGTTTCTGCCTGTCTGAATCTAGGTGGATGCATTACGATTACGTCTGGAAGAGAAGGAGACTATGCTAAATAAGAAGACAAAGCAGATTCAGGAGATGGCAGAGGAGAAGGGGACTCAAGCAGGAGAGATCCATGACCTCAAGGACATGTTGGAGGTGAAGGAACGCAAAGTTAATGTTCTTCAGAAGAAGGTAAGATTGTAGAGGTCTGAATCAGATACACATCGCTGATGCATCTCGATTACTAAGTCTATCAAAAAGTCTGAACTAGAATTTACATTTTGGAGATTAATGATTGAGTCCATTCATGTAATGGAAAGGTGGTGAATGATTAATTTCGTTTTGAAGTTTTGAAGGCAAAAAAAATAGAACTCAAAGCAAAGGTTGTTGCCTTTCAGTGGTTGCGTGTGCTGCTTCCACTTCCTTACTAACAATGACTGAAATAGTTGTAGGAGGGCAGGCACATCATCTGAAAAATCAGTCCTTTCACTCCCACCTCCTTAACAAAGCCATGCTGATTTGAAGCACAGGGCACTGGGTGACTATGACTTCAGTATGTGACTAAATGAATGAGGGGTTGTATCAGTAGAAGCAATTAGGATGATTCTTCTGTAAACTTACAAAGTTCTTCCTGAACTTTTCTATAACTTTCATTAGAAATGCTGTTTTATCATGCTTAGTATTTCTTGGGAACTAGTATAACAGGATGATCGAGGTCCAGACTATTCTGCATATCTTTCTGGATAAGAAAATGTAGATCTTGCCAGTGAAATGGGGGAGATCTGGATAAGAAAAAGTAGTCCCTGTCAGGGAGATTGGAGAGGTTTCCCAAAGGGCATTGAGTTCTAGGGCAGTGAATGTCACTACGGATGATTGTTTGCAAATTGCATACAATGTTTCCCAAATGGCTACTACACATGGTAAAAACAGTGAAATGCGTGTATCGCCAGAAATTTTAATTTACACAATATTTTTTCCTTTGTATTTCTAGAGAAGCTGTTCTTGGAGCTCGTATTTGATGTATTAGGCTGTGAATGTGGGTTGTTTCTAGACCTTTAAGCTATTCTGTGGAATTCTTGTAATTTTAATAGTTCAGAATATTGATTAATTTCTGACAGCTGGCCAATGCCTTTTCTTCTAGTATATAGCTATGAATAATGAGGGTTTAGGTCATATTCAGTTCTGTTACAGCAAACTTCATGCAGGAATGGAAGTTCAGGCATGGAGTTTAGCCATAAGTAAGTCATATAATTCTACAATAGACCCCTAATTCCCAGTCTTTGTGGTCTTATTTTTTGACTGTTCATCTTTTTAGACTAAAAACACAGATTTTTAATTTTTGTGCTGTGCTTTGTCTTTGTTTTCAAAGTCAGTCATGCACACTCCAGACATTGATTGAGATCCCAGATGAACGTTTAACCAAGAACTGGGGAATCTGACATTTGCATAAATGTTAAATGTCAGTGAGGTTGTTTTACTCCTATTTACTCTTGCACTTTTTTTTCACGTGTTTTCTTATTTGCTCTATTTAACTCTTTAGCATGATCTTTCATTGGTTCATTTATAGGCATTGCTAAAGGTCTCTTTTTACACATTTTTTTTATACTTGTTTTCTTGAGACCACTGTAATCCATATTAAGACAGTTTCATCTTCTCTCTTCATGTGGCTAGCCTAATTTTTTTCGAGGTTTGTTTGCTGCTGCTTTCAAGTAAAAGTAGCTGGTCTCTTCACACTGGAAGGTAAGACCCAAGCTTTTAGATGTAAAGGTTTTCAGGTCTTGTTCTCCTAGATAGCTCAACAGAGGATAATGCTACCATAATAAACTGCAATTTGAGTTATTTTGCAAACCTGTCTCTGAGCTTCTTAAACAAAGAAACATATAACCTATCTATAGAAA